CAATTTTCACCGTGAACAATCTGGCGACCATAGTGGGAGCCACCGATCTCGCTGCCGAGATCGTCACGTCGCAGCCGCGGATCTCAATCCCGGTCGAGGAGGAGGTCGAGTATGAATTCGACCAGGCCAAGTTCGAGGAGTACCTTTCGTCCTCGTCCGGATCTACCTCCCCCCGCAAGTCCAAGAAGTTCTCCTCCAGGAGAAAGGCTCGTTGGTTTGAAGAAGTCCAGAATACTAATGACGCTCTCACCCCAGCTGACGCCAAAGTTGCGTCAGGTGAAGTTCCACCGACCTCCAACGAGGTCAAACCTATTCTTGTCAACGCTTCTACTGTTGAGGGCGTTGTGACTCTCTCAAAGAGAGCCCTCCAGAGGCGACGTCAGCGCCTTGTGCGCCAACTCGCTAAGGCGATGGAGTGTATGGACGGAGTCCGCTACAACGCGGATCTGACGAATAGGAGAGGCAAACAGCCTCAACAACTGAAGAATGGTGGTTCCTCCAAGCCGCCGACGAACGAATGGATCCGGGTCAAACGGAACCGTTCGACACTCGAAGAGCGGATTCACAAACGCCGCGCATTACTTGCACAAGCAAGAATCCTCGTGCAGAAGGCTGAGGAATTGAGTGGAGGCCAAAGCAGCCTCCAACCAAAGTTCAACCACCGGCGAAACAACCAAAGTCGCCGGTAATCCCAATAGCTTCTCCGGGAGATCATGCAGAATCATCCCAAAGGAAGAAGCCAGTCTTGGAGCGTCTCAGTCCGATTCCCGACGAGAGAGGCAAAGCTCCCGTTCAAGATCATTTGGGCCTGATGAAAAAGCCACGGACGACGCAACATGCTGGGGGTCGCCGTCACCTCCAACATGACAAAGAGACCAGGGCGGTCATGCGCACCAACTTGCGCATTGAAGTCCAGGAGACCGCCGAGAACTCACGCCCAAAAAGGCATGTTTCGAGGCGCGTGACTTTTGAAAGCCCGAAGAGGGCAGTCCCCCCTCAGAAGGAAACATTATCGTCAGATGACGATAATGTTATACCTGAGAAGTCGTGCCAACACACGATAGGTTACTCCGATCGTCAAGCAGACGAGTTGTACTATCGTACCGGGGGTACGAATAAAACCAGGAAAAGGAGTCCCTAAGAACAGGAAACTCAGTGCCCCTGTTCCAAACTCATTCGGGCAGTATTGTTTGAATGCAGCTGTATCAAGGCGGTCCCCGAACGAGTTTCGGTTTTCGAGAGACTTAGTACTGAAACGCCGAAAACAAGGCCTAGGCGTTTCCGACGAAGAAGAACGGTGGTTGAAGACGGAGAATTTCCGAGTGTCACCACCAACATGACCAGCAGAGGGACATCGGCGCGGGACAATCTCGAATCGATTCTGAAAGCATCCCGACCTAGAACCCGTCTGCAGTCCGGAACCATCAAGCGGACAACCTATGGTAGGGTTCGAACAAGGCTCCCTTCAGAAGATGAAGAATCTGATACCGGCTCCGCGGTCGCATCAGATAATACAGTATCCAGCGAGGGACAACCCCGCGAGGCACTTATGATAAGTTCATTAATGAAGATTCCATTTTAGCGTACTTGTCTGATGTCTCTCTTAAAAATAAACAAATAGAGAATAATTCTAGTGCATGTACCAACCCATGGCACGTACTGTGCACAGAGGCGTCGCTCACCTTGCCAATCCAGTCATCCTTCGCTTCAGTTTGGTTTGAAACTTGGTGACCTTTCAATGGACCCAAGCGCTCCTTGATAGGTACTTTACCTCGATTCCCTGGTAAGGGACCGAGGCGACCTTTCACAGGAACCTTGGAGGTTGAAGGGTCTGTTTTCATACCTGACCCTACCAGAGCTGCCGGGGTAAGGGGAACAGGATTTGGCCTTGGTGAAGGTTGGGCAGCAACTTCTTTCACTTTTGTCTTGAAGGAAAACCTCCGGATTATTATCAAAAAACCGGAAGGGGCGTGGGTTACGTCACGCCTCCCCCCGCCTAGAAAAACGAAATTAGTAATTACTTACGTCATGACCAATCATCCGGAATATCGTCATACGAGTCCGACGTCAGCGTGGGACCCTTCTTTAAAAACTTGACTGTGAACATGGTTTCAACTAGTCATCCAGATGAAGACGCAGGGGGTGACGAGGAATTATTGGAATCGACCGATGATCCTTGGATCAAGCGTCTCAATATCCTGTGGGATATGCGTTTCGAACAACGCGAACCGCCCACTGAAGATAAAGTAATCCAGGTCAACATGGGAGATGAACATGATCCTAAGCCCATATTCATAGCTGAAGACTTGTCATCATCCGAAAAAGAAGACCTATCATCCACCGAGAAGGAAGACCTTATATCTCTCATCCGAGAATATATAGATGTCTTCGCTTGGAACTATGAAGATATGCCCGGCCTTGACCCGAAGGTTGCCATGCACCGTCTCAACATTGATCCGGACGCAAAACCCGTTAAACAACAACAACGTAGGTTTCGTCCAGAGATCATGGAATCAATCGAGTCAGAAGTTAAAAAGCTTATAGACTCAGGTTTTGTTAGGGAAGAACAACACCCTGACTGGGTGGCCAACATCGTCCCAGTTCCTAAGAAGAACGGTAAAGTCCGGATATGCATTGATTTCCGCGATCTCAATGCCGCCTGTCCGA